GCTCTTGGTGTTCTTCGCCTTACTGGTGGACGGCAGCCTTGCCTTGGCAACCCGCCGAACCTCAACCTATTCTGTTGTCATATTTTCCTGTCAGTATCGCACTTCGTGGTGATCTCTTCTTTTTTCCACTAATTTATTCTTATCCCAAACATCTCTATCATATATTTTTTTTTTACTCGTAATCCACTTTTTTGTGTTTTCTGCTCCACTTTGTATTTCCACCTGTTTCAACCTCAAATAGGTTTCTAACCTATTTGAGTTTGAGGGGGGGTATTATACCTATATCATGGTGAGCATGGTTATATACCATGTGAACCACCAAAGCCGCCCATAGTTATACACTATGCGAACCACCCAAGCCACTCCCTTTGGTGCACAATCCAAGCAGCCCCCTTTGGCGCACAACCCAAGCCGCCTCCTTTGACGCACAATCCAAGCCCTCTAGCACACTTAGTTTTCTGTTTCCATCATCGTTTAGTACCACGTCATAAGTTATGTGTGTGCCACCCAAGCTACCCCATTTGGCACACCACCTAAGCCGGCCCTTCTGGCACACAATCTAAGCCGCCCCTCTGGCACACTTAGTTTTCTGTTTCCATCATCGTTCAGTACCACGTCAAAAGTTATGTCTGTGCCACCCAAGCTGCCCCATTTGGCACACCACCTAAGCTGCCCCTTCTGGCACACAATCCAAGATGCCCCCTCTGGCACACAACCCAAGTCATCCCCTTTGACGCACAATCCAAGCCGTCCCCTGGCACACTCAGTTATCTATTGCCATCATCGTTCAGCACTACGTCATAAGTTATGTGTGTGTTACGCTTGTTGTTTCAATATCCAGTTCTCTACATAGGTTCGACATGACCCCTTTAAACTGTCCCAACATTGATTCCGGTTAGCTCGTACAATGGTCCGACATGACCATAAACTGTCTCCTGGTATTAACTCCGGCCTCTGATCTCGGTATTAGTTCCAGCCAATTTCTATATTGGTCTGGCACGACCTTAAACTATCCCGGCATTAGTTTCGGCCAGTTTCTACAATGGCCCGACATGACCATAAACTGTCTCCCGGCATTAGTTCTGGCCTCTGATCTATTTCAAGTGCCTTTGCGCTCCCGTTCGGATTTTGCAATCTATTTGCGTTTTATTTTATTTAGTTTTATTTCATGTTTTAGTTTCTCTCTCCAAACTCAAGATGTTTATCCTCTTTGAGTTTGAGGGGGAATGTTAATGTATATATGGTATATATTTCTACATATATTAGGTATTGATTTCCTAGATATATTAGATATTGCCATAGTTAGGTCTCTTATAGGATACTCTTTCACATAGTTAGATTTCTAGTAGGATACTCTTTCTCTGCCTATATATACAGACCTTCTATTGTATAGGACAATCATTCAAAACAATACATATTAGTTCATCTCTTTCTCTCTCTATTATTCTAACACATCTCATCAACCTCAAGCTTCAATGTATCCTTATGCACATTCATACCATTCCTAACCTTCTTGGCCTGCTGGTAGTTTACATACGGCGGCGCTGGAGTCGGAGCCATAAACGGAGCGGGTCAAATCCCAACCTATCCATTGTTGGGAAAAGGGTAGTAGAGAGTGAAATTAGGCAAATTGGGCCTACCCATCATAGGATTAGAGTAATTGCAAGTAGTGTAGGCATTGGAGTAGTAGTAAGGAAAGTAAATTGGGGGTGGTGAATGTGGGTAAGGGTGGAAAAGAGGAGGAAAGTAAGGATCAGGAGGATAAGAGTATCAGGAAGAAGAAGATGAGGAAGTGATGAGTGCGTTGTGATGAGGGTTTTTTTGTAGTAATTGTTATTGTTGTTGTTGTTTCTTCTTCTGTTGTTGTTACTCCATGAAATCCCTATATTTGCTAGAGATGAACTAGAGAGAGGGGTGTAAATCTTGCCCGACCTGACCCAGCTCGGCCCGGCCTATGTCAGGTCTCACGGGCTCCAGCCAAAATTTGGGCTAGTCCATGGGCCAAAAAATTAGGCTCGGGCCCAACCCTAGGCCTACTGATATTTAGGCCTTCGACGCGCTAGTGGGTTGGGCCTCGGGCTTGGGAGGGCCTGACCTTTTTTTTTGTTTTTTTTTTTAATTTTTTCTAACAAAATTTTATTATTTTCCACTAAAAAAGACATTGGGCCTCGAGTGGGCCGGGCCTTAAGCTGGCCGATGGGCCGGACTTCAAAATGATGCCCAGGCCCAACCCGGACCGTAGGTCATTTTTACACTCCTAAAAGAGTGAGAAGAATTTAGAGAGAGAGAGAGAGAGAGAGAGAGAGAGAAAAGAGAAAGTGTGTTAACGATGTGTGTTTGAATTTCAGTGGATCCAAACGCATCCTTATGTTGGCTTTTTCTTTACATTTCTTTTTTTTTTTTTTTTTACTTTTGTTTTTTGGTTCTCTCTATGGAGTCAATGTTGGAGGAAAATAGCTTGTCTTTGATCTTGAAAATGGTGACAGAAGTATTTTTGTAAATAGGAAAATGCTAGTAACAGGTTGGAATATTTGTAATAGATATATTAAAGTTAGGATAAATTATGAATACATTTTTTAAATTTGTTTAAAATATTAATGTCTCATGTTATTTTGATAATTATATTATGTTTTTTTTAAAATTTTTAATCACATAACAAATAATTATTTTATGAATCAATCATTAAGTTAATTGATAATTTTTAGTGATTTCATAAATATATTTTAACTAATTGTTTTGATAATTTTATTGTTGTATATAAAAATAGTTAGGAATTTTATTTTTTCTATTAACTCTATTAAATGAAAAATTATGACAATAAGATATTTAAAATTTTCAGAATCGTAAGGGGCAATTTGTATTTTAAGTAAATTTTAAAATTTATATTTGTAATTTACTTTTAAAATTATAAAAATTATGTGAATTTTGTATTTTGTATTTTGTATTTTTTGATGTTATTTAGTCACGAGTGGTTAGCAAGATCCTCAGAAATTTGGATATGGTGAATTTTTGTTGTTGAGAAGCCTTAGGCTAGTAATCCATCCATCCATTTTGATTGAAATACAAAATTTAGTTTGATTTGAATTGAATTTTATCTTTGGGATAACTAATTTATCTTTTGGGCAAATTATGTTAAGCAAAACTTTAAGACTTAAATAAGCTCCAAACTTAAATAAGCTCCAAATGCTATGACTTTGGCCTTCTTTCTTCTTCTTTTTTTAATTTTTAATCAACTTTACAAATTTGGCTTCAAATGTCTTCCCACTCTGGTTTATAATTGCGCCTTTTCCTGATTAATTTTATCAACAATGCCAATGCTTGATACATTCACACATGAAATTGGGCTAGCCCACGGCCAAGTATTATTTGGGCTATCCGAGCCTGTCCAAAGCATGGGCTTGGGTCATGCCCGAACATTTAGTTCAAATGATGATGCATAGTTGTATCTCATGCGATATCTTAGAGTTTTTTGAAATATCTTTTTCTTAAGTTAAGAAGGAACTGAGAAATTTAGATTATGTATGTAGGTGAATATGCACACGACCAGGCCGAGAGTTGACGGCCTAAGTTTTGTTTTTGTCAGCCAACCCTTGCGCCTCCTGAGGAGGTTCCAGATGAAGTCAAGTTTTTATGGCTGTTTTTGTAAACGTATTAGGCTATGTTATACTATGTGATATTTGGACAAGATTTCTGATAACATATGGATAGAGTGAGGTGTCAATATTGTACGATTCATCTATCGCTTGATAAAAATATTTTGAAATCAAAACTTATCTTATCATTAGAGAAAATGAAGTATTCTAACAAAATTGACGCTTCAATCTACTTGTATTTATAGTAAGGTGGCAAAAGTATGTAGTACGAATATTTACTAAAAGATTGCTTCGTAGTTTAGTGATCTCTCCATGAAGCAATCTTTCCCGTTATAAGCATATTTGGACAATTGGGGCCTTGATTTGGCATCAAGTTTGCATCATTGATTCTTGGTTGGTAGGGTGTTGGATCTGAGAATAAAAAAAGACTCCAATTCTTCAAGTTTGAAATTATACTAATATTACAAACATAAAATCAACCATTAGACAAGAAACAAAAGTAAGAATTTGTATTTATCAATGTGAACCATTTTGTACTTGATAATGTTAAAAACACTAATTAATGTATCGATAAACTTACCAACTAAACATAATATTAAGTGGGTCCAATGTCAAGTGGTAAATCCCACGTGTATATCTTGTGTTTAAGTCAATTTACTTTTAAAAAAAATTTAAAACACTATTTTTAACTACTCTTAATTAAGAAAAAAAAAATGGAGATCCAACAGCTTCATTGTATTTCATTCCTTACATTATGTAGTACATGTTAATTGTAGCACATTAAATCTTTAAACACCCATCAAAAGAAAATGGAAACCCAACTCAAAAAAAAAAAAAAAAAAAACGAAAACAAAAACAAAATCACAAAAATATGCTGTAATCCCATTTTGCTGATATTCATGATCAAAATTAACTTACAATGGGGAAAAAAGCTTCATTTTTCAACAAAAATCTGGCCTCAGTTTCTTCCGAACCGATATGTAGCCTCACTGATGATCTCTAAATATTCTGATCTCAGAACAATCTCTTAAATCTTCAAGACTAATGTAGTGTCACTACAAGAAATAAGTGTTTTGGTGGTATATTTTTAATGACGTTTTTTAAAATGTCATTATTTTTAATATTTAACGACATTTTATAAACGTCGCATTTTTCTTTAATTAAAACAACAATGATTCATCCTCTTTTTCTTCCACCCCTTTGACCTCCTCTCTCTCTCATTGATTACATTTTCTTTTTCTTTTCTTTTTTTTTCCTACTCCTCCAATCACCACCAGCCACGTAACAAAGGGGTAAAGGGGTGACCCCAAAAGGGGTTCCAAACATTATCCTAATTAAAATAGCATGACGTGTCATAAACTTCGCGTTTCCTTTTAAAACGGTGCCATTTCATAAATAGAAGACATTCATAAACGCTTTCAAATGGGTTAGGTGTCACGCGCTCCCTCTCTCGCTCTCTCTTTTCACCCTTTTTTTTTTAATCTTCAAATCTTGAGCTCTCTCTCTCTATCTGCTGTCTGAGCCCGATTAATATCTCAGAGACATTTCGAAGCACATCGGCGATTCATCAAAGCTCTACTGTCTCGAAATCGAAGTTCATCTCAACGATTCAGATCGGTGAGCTCTATTGTCTCTCTCTCTCTCTAAACCCTAATTATCTTAGAGATTTAGATCGGTCTCAGCGAAATAGATCGGCGATTCATCAGAGCCATTTAGAAGTTCTCTCTCAAAATCGAAATCGAAGTTCATCTCAGCGATTTAGATCGGTAAGCTCCACTGTCTTTCTGTCTCCCTCCCTCTCTCTCTAGAGACACATCAGATTTGGTCCACTCTCGATCAACAAATCCCGACGGCGGCTCTCCAGCGGTGGCCCTTTGTCTTCATCATCTGAAGAGTTTTGTTTTGCAACCCTAAATCTTCAAATCCCCTTCATTGACAAAGAAAGAAAAGGTCAGAATTTATTTATTATTTTTTATGGAATAAATAATCATACATTTATTTTAATTAAGATTTTGTGTTGGTTTGATTAAGATTTTTAGGGAAAACATATTTCTTCTTTATTTACCCAAAACATGTGAATGGATTTTTTGCATTGCAAGTGTTTGATAAAATGCTTCAATGAAATTGTTTTTTGTAAACTAATTAGATACATGTGAAGTTAGGAGTATGTTGTGATGAATGCTAAATAGCTCTTGTGATGGTTTATTTTATAAACTCTAGTGAGTATTTTCACCCCTAGAATAATATTACTTAGGAAATAGATGTGTTTGGTTAATATATTTTAAATTCTGATTACATTTATGCACATGTATATTTTTGTGTTCTTTAGGATTTGTGAAAAATAGTGGTATGTTAAATCTGTATTATATTTATAGTGATATACTTTGTTATGGTGTTGGTCTCCTTTTCCAAAATCAAAGTTGCAAATGTGGAAAAAAAGCAGATATTAAGATATCAGATTCAAAAAAAAAAAAATCGAGGGAGACTTTGGTGTGCAAATGACATGTGCGATTACTTTACATGGTGAGTGCTTGTAAACCAACATGGAGCTTCTTGAGGCAAACCAATGAGCTATCAAATTGTTTTTGATGACAAGCATATTGTGTACTGATTTTAGCATTACTTTAATGCTTAAGTGATTATTGTATGCTTAAGTGATTTTAGCATAGTTTTCTAAAGTATGATCTATAAGGTTATAAGATGTTTGAACTCAATGTAATAAGATGATATCTTGTTATTAATTGAATGATGTGTCTTCAAATGCCAAGCCATCTTTCCCTTATTATTTGATGTTGCATTTGGACACTGCACTAATTTGGAGGACAAAGGGTTTTTTGTTTCAGACTTGGAAGCTGTATGGGCATAAAAGCAGTGTTCTTTTGATGTTTTTAACATGCAAATGGAGCCACAAGTCTCCTTGGGTTGTGAACCATGCCTCCATCCTGAGAAAATCCTAATTAAGGATGGTGATTGTGGTGTAACTGTATCCTTTCAAAACCATGATGTACAACAGCCAAGTAACATTTTGTGCTTGTCATTTCGAAGTTTCTAATCATTTGTCTCAATTGAGGTGCTTTGTCGTTTTTGTTGTTGTATTGAGAATATTGATTGTACCTCTGGAATGCAGTTTCCAGTGCAGTGAAAAAACAAACACTGCAATGGGCTGCTTGGACACGTCAAGAGGAGGAAAGCCTCTTCACTGCATTGCGGCAAGTTGGCAAGGCATTTTTTGCTGACATGGTTTTTGGTTTTTGGAATTATTTCTTACAATATATCCTGACATGACTATATGATGTCTTTTAATAGAATTTCGACTTTGTCTTGATGCCAAAAATTCTAAAGCTACTAATGCTGCAATGCTTCAATGGTAACCAGTAACTATGCCCTCTACTTAATGTCTATTTTATGTATTATGGAAACCGTGCAAATTTCTCTTATACTAGCAACATGTATGTGCACCTATGTTCCTTTCTGATTATATTTCTAAGGAGATGTAGCGATGTTGAATGAACTTATGTAGGGGTTGTTTTGTTGAACGAAGCCCTCATCTAATTAAGTGAGTAGGTTTCACCTTCAACTGCCTAGGTGCGATGTTCTTTAAGTAAATAAAAGATTGGTGCAATTATTTTAATAGCATAACTTATAAATTACATTTAGAAGATTGCTGGACATTGTGCACTATCTACTAAAATCATATACTTAGCCAGCTGAATTAAGTTCAAGATCATTTGATATAATAAATGGTAAGGGCATAATTGTTAGAGGGACACACCTAGTCCCCAAAAGGCTTAAGGCTCGTGATCTTCACTACACACACAGCTTCTCAATACTCATTGACTTCATGGATCGTCTTTGGCGTAGAGACTGAAAGGTCTTCTCTGGCTTCACTATAGCAGAGGTTATATATATATATATATATGTGCGTGTGTGTGTGTTCAGAGCTGTTTTTTCATTTGTTTCCTTTATGTGGATCTTACTTACTGAAATTCAAAGTTTGTTTCAGCATTATAGTCTATTGAATCGATGATGAAATGTTGTGGGAGAGTTATATCAACTGTTAAGTTTGATGCATTACTGGTTTTTGTGTTATACATTGCAAAAAAGCGAGCTTTTAAATTGCAGGCAATGTGGGTATTCATGAATCATTGATACCATTGCATTTTATTGAATATACACTGAAATACTAGATTAAGTGTGTTATGCTGCTGATTGTGCATTATTGGGTTTGTGTTGTTTTATGTGTAAGTTTATGACCTTAATGTTATATGAAATGATGACTTCTAGATGTTTGTTGCCTTTGTTAGATGTAAAAAATATGTTTGATTGTTTTCCATATCATTCAAAATTTTAATTAGGATTATAAAGAATTATGGAGCTTTTGGCAACAAATGTTATGTTTACTGCTTAGGCCCATTGCCATTGTAGGGACAGAGAGTATGAACAAGTAGAGACCCTGTTTCTATTGAGGGCTTTATGCCTTTGGTGTAATCCCAATTACTGCTATGCTAGTTATGACTGCTAAAGTTTTTATTGTGTTCTTAATTTCTTAGACATAGAAAATATAGACATAACTAGCAGAATAAACAGTGTAGTAAAAATTCAAAGTCACAACACAACCAGTTGAAAAGTCCAATGGTATCAAATTAACCTAGTGCCCTGTTTGATTACAGAAAAAGTAAAGGAAACAAGAAAAAAAAAATCATTATATACACAGTGATAGTTCGAACATCCATGAGGATGATAGTTCGACTGCAGTTTCGATTTTCTTTTGCTCTTTTCTTGCGTTTTCTAGGTAACCAAACAGAATTGAATGAAAAATAAATATCAAAAAAAAAAAAAAGAAAGAAAGAGAGGGGGATGGAGGGTTTACCTGGTTTCCTGTTGCCAGTCTTTTGACCAGTTTTGGTGAGGACATCGAACCTTAAAATATATTTCAATTGCTCTTTTAAAGCTTTTGTTGTTTGGTCTTGTTCTTAATTTCTTGTTTCATCTGATTATTCTATACTTGCATATTTTATTGTCAGAAAATGTGATTTTTATGCAGTGCACTTAGCTGGATTTTCTTTTTATGTAGAATGTATGACTACCTCTGTTGTAAACAGGGTTCTGTTGTCTGGGTCCTTTCCTTTACTTCCATATCATAATCATTTTGACAGGATTTCCCCTTTTCATTGCTTCATACATTTGTAACGGGTTTAGATGACGTTTTTTTAACGGCGCTTTTTTAAACGCCACTTTTCTTAATATTTAACGACGTTTTATAGGCATGCACAAAATAGCAGCCAATCCCATTTATTTATCTCATTTGAGTGTTTTTGCTCTGAATGCAAACCTAAATTGATTACAAGGTCATAAACATGGACCAATGGATGGGTTTCTAGCGGTTTTGCAATGAGGTAATCCAACAATTAGTTGCTAATCATTATTTTAGAATTTATAGTTATCTTTTTTTTCAGTTGATCCTCTAGTGTAAGTTGACTGGTTGATGTGTGTGATGCATTTAAAAATCCATAAAGATGTTGTATATTTGATATAACCTTTTTCTTTTTAAGTCATGCAGACATATGCACATTATTTAGTATACTTCAATACGTTACTTTGTTTCGCACCACCTGAAGTTTTATCTGTAGGTATATTTCCCTTGTAACTTGGCAACAGCTGTTTTTTTTCCCCTTTCTCTTTTGGGGTGTCAACTGGTTCAAATTGTCTAGAGTAAAGTTTGTCGTTCTCTGAACTTGTTTTTCTACAAAGAATTATTTGTAGAAGGTACATTACTATTTGTTTATGTGATTCTGACCAAGCATCTTTACAATTGTATTTACTTTTGGCCCATTTGGAAGAGCTGTGGGAAAGTGATTATAACTTATAGCCTAAGAGCTTATAGCTTATAACTGTGAACATAAGCTGATTTTTGACTTATAAATTAAGTTTCTCCTCCCCCACTCAAAGAATAAGTTGATTTTTGACTTACAAAAAGTTATAAACTGTATTGTTAAGCTGAACCAAATATATCAAAATAGCTTAAATTAAGGTAAAAGCTGAAATAAGGTGAAAATAAGTCTTACCAAACAGGGTCTTTGTATTATACATGAATTACAGAGTATAGTATGGGAAATAAAGTGATGACATTGGATATGCTTACAGGAAAGAGACCTACTGAAAACATGTTTAATGATAATCTGAGACCCACTGAAAACATGCTACTGAAAACAAAGCCTCCAAATTAGATGTTTTTCTCCAAATTCTACGAGTCCCTAAATTTGGCAGTGAAACTACATGTGGAAGAGTGGAATCCAAGTTTTGATCAAGTGCTCACCATCTCAGTCCAATTAGGTATGTCTTCGATGATCTTGGCTTCATTTTAGTTTGTTTTAATTTTGTGAAGTAAACATCTAATTCTGTACTCGTCATTGAAATTCTTTGTATTTTCTTTGTGATATTATGTGCAAAATTTCTCTTATTAAGGGTAAATAAGTAGTATAGATTATGCTGAACATGACACTCATAGACTCATAGTATTTTATTACCTGTCATGATTAGTTTAGGTAATATGAAATACTTGAGACGATTCTTATAGATGCTTAGTTCACATTGACGATGACATGTTAGTGAGTGATGTGGTGTAGATTTCAGGTTTATGTTCCTAACTACTGTAAAGTTATATAGTGAATCTTTCCATTGGTGGTTTTCTTGCTTGAAGTCTCTTTTTATTTTGAGTGTTGCTAATGGTGCTGCTCGTGCTCTGTCACAATTATTACAAATGATGAATTTTCAGAATTCTTGGACATTTAGTCTTTTTTGGAAAAATAATAAATAAAAAAATGTAGTAAACCCGTTAAACATAGCCTTCTATTAAACCTAGACGAAAACAAAAATTTTAACCCTAGTTTTTGTTTAAATACAATTGAAGGAGTAAAGTAGTAACTTAAATGATAGATTTTTGTCAGGAGCAAAACTCCAACCACCCCTACCAAAATAATAATAATAATAATTATAAAAGAAAAAATTCTCCACTTGTTTTTTGGTGATAGGGAACTTGTCATGAAGCCAGAAAGAAGATAACAATTCTTTCAAAATGAGTAGGAGAACTTCCTAAGGAAGATCATTACTATACTGATATTGACAAGAAATATGCCACTGTTCTAGATCATTTGTATTAATTTTATTAATATGTGGAAAGTTGAAATCAATGTTATTTAAGGTAAAAGTCACAAGCGTTGCATGTGTTTATTGAAGTGAAGTTCATGTTATAGACATTGCACAGTTTTTTTTATGATTGAGAAATTTATTGTTTTTCTGCGTACTATGTACTAACTAATGACATTGTATTTTTACATCGCATGATTACCAGCAAGCACATGCTTAATAACTTGGACTACATCAACAATTTCAAATCAAAGAATTAAACAATTAAAAATAAATAAATGCATCAATTGATTAAGAAAATTAAGTTTACAAATTCTTTAGTTTATGTTTATTTTGGTGAATTTGATTGTAGTTTATGTTCTGATGCAGGTATGTAGACTACTGAAGAATAACAATGAACTCTCTCATCAATTTGAATTTAGCTCATCCAAGCTTGAAATTTATGTTATAGGCAGGAATAGATTTTTGAAACATAATCTAGGAAAGTTCAAGAGTCTCTTACTTTGGTGATATCTTGAGTTGGGGATAATTTTCCTGGTAGTAATTTGCCATCTCTTGTATAGTTGGATCAATCATTATAGCTCAACACTTCTTTTTTCTGTTAATGTCTTTGCTAAAACATGATTTATGAATATGTTATTTTGTGGTTAATGGTGATTGGATATTAAATTGAATGGGAAAGTGAATTAACGTTGTATTTGCTACTTGAATGAGAGTTATTATTTCATATTAATGCTATTTTTCAGTTTTATTACAGGTCTTTTTAGTTGAATCACATAAAATTAGTACAATTTTTTAAAAAAAGATAGCTGTCACGGCATTTTTAAAAACGTCGCTAAATATTATACTAGGTGATTTTTGAAAAAAGAAATATGACGGCGTTTTGAAAACGTTGCTAAATAGTATGGTGACATCATGTTGTTAGTAGAAGTTTTAGCAGCGTTTTAGAAAACGCCACCTATAGTAATATAGTGACGTTTCTAAAGCGCCATAAAATTATAACGACGGCTTCATCTTCGGCGTTTGGTACTAAATGTCACAAAAGAATTTGACGGTGTTTTTGGGACCTATAGCGACTTTTTTTTAATGTCGCTAAATTCCCCATTTCCAGCCGTGTGTTGCTTCACCATTCTTGAGAAATTTCCCATTGTGTCATGTATCCAAATATAAGGATGACATGTCTCATCATAGTAATACAATAATCCTCTCATTCCCTTTCCACCTCCACCTGCACCACCACCAGCACCAACAGTGCCATTAGGCATGTAAGCCTTTGTAAATGGTCTTGGATTTCAATCTCTTCGATGAACCGGGCTTCAAAGTGTGAATTTTCTTCAATATCCATCCCACTCTTATTTGAAGCTCCGCGGGCTTGTTGCTGAGGTTCCAAATCCTCGTTCCAAGTCTAGAAACTTGGGTGTGATTGCGACATCCATTGAAGCACCTTGAAAGTGAAAAAAGGCCTAAAACTTGCATTTTTTCTTCAATGAGAGATTGAAACTCTCATACTTTGTGTGTTATAAATGATAATTTCAACAACTTTTGTGATTTCTGTGTATAAGAAACACTATGACTTTCGGTGTGGTGTTAAATTTTATTTTTCAATCTTTTTTGTGTGATCATTAGAATTAGGCAGAATACGAAAGTAATGAGTTGTTTATACTTAGTTTGATGATAACTTAATGAGTTTAAAATTAAATTTAAATTTGACTTGTTTACCTAATGAGTTTTTAATGAGCCGAACACAAATTGAGTTTTTTTTTGGGTAGGTAAGTCATAAGGTTTATACCAAAAAATAGATATTACAGTAAGACTTATACACTCCCAAAAGCAACACACCCTTCGAGGAGGAAAAACACATGTTTAGCTTCTACACTAAAATCTAACAAGTAGATTAACATACAAGGAGAATCCAAAAGCTAGGCCAAACAACAATCAATGAAGATGCCTACAATTTCATAGGAGTCTTATGACTTGATTTCTTTGACTTAATAAAGAGGCTAATTTCTTGAGCAAGTTTAAGATTAATGATTCTTTCAAGAAGCTTTTTTCTTATTTTCCACTTTGAAGATGGATTTGTCCATGGAATAACGAATGTTCCATCCGAAAGGGATAGAGGAGCTCTTTTGGAACGTGAAGATCGTTTAGGGGCTAACACATTTATATTACCTACATCCTTGGCAATTTCTTTCTCTTTCTTTTAAGCCTCTTTATTTGGAATATCTTTTGAGGGGTTACTCACTTTCAAAGAGGAGCAATTCACATTAAGCACACTCTTAAGATCCGCACAAAAAGAAACCACCTTATTGGCTACACAAGTATTGAGAATATCAAATGCATTCGATGAAGATGGAGGAGGTGTAGGAACAAAGTTACCCATAGGAGCATTAACGACGTCCTTGCCTTTTTTCTTTTTCACTTTAACCCATTCACTTGGCTTGCCTCCCTCCTTCATCTCGACCACTTCTTTGGCCTTTCACTCTTGTTTAAGTTTGCTAGGAGCTTGAGTTATCGGTTTACTTGGACACAAACTTATAGCATGACCAAATATTTTGCATTCTTTACACACTTGGAGTTTTCAAGGAACTTCTACTTTGATTTCGAATGGTTCTCCATATCCTAAATTTACAACAAAGGAGGGTGGAATCTCTTTAGTGACTTCTATCTCAATACAAATTCTAGCAAATGTTAACCGGCTATGGTTTTGAGTAAATTCATCAAGATAAAATGGATTACTAATAAAACTTGCTATATAACTTAATCCCTTCTCAATCCAAAGTTCAAGCGGCACATTGAAAAAATTTACCCATATCGGCACACTTGAGAAGACATTTTTAGTAAAGGTCATCGGGGTGCCATATCTTAATAACAATCAATTTGCTCCCAATATAATAAGGCCCCTCATCAAGAATGGAATTTAAAGCTTCTTCATTTTAATCTTGAATACAAAATAGCCATTAACTAAGGTTACAACCTCTTCAAGATTTTCGTTCCATAACTTGCAAGCCCAAGTCTTCACTTGGAAGAAAGATAATTTTCTATCAATAAAATAACCCACAAGAGCATGTTCCCATTGCTTAAACCCAATTTTAGAGATTTCCAATGGGATTTGAAGTTGATCATTATCATAACCCATCGAGTATCTCTTAAGGTTTCTAACTACTTTCTTCTTAGCAATCTCAGATTTAAATAAACCACTCCAGGGCGTAGAGATAACATTATGGGAAGAAGACTTACCCAACCCATTGGAACTATGACTTTGGATTATTTCTGCTTCAATCTGATCGGATGAGTCCATAGCACCCACCAACCCCTCTACACATGACATCTGAACCTGAGCATGCCCTTTTGTCTCCTTATAGTCTTGCACATTTGTGGTAGGGGTACTTCCCTTTATTGCTATCTCAATATCCCCTATTGATTCAAGTATGGTTGTTTTGCCCAGGTCTTGTTATGAGGAAGAGCCATGGTAAACACTAGAACCCACCATGGCATTGTAAGCTTCAGGGGGATCACAATAAGTCTCTTCAATATCAAAATTATCATGTTCAAACTCAAGTTATAATTGCCTTTGCATATAGTCTATATTATTTTGCTTTTTACCATTGGCTTGATTTGAACTATTAGGGCCCAATTTCTTTTGCACCAAGCTAGAATGGAATTCTTTAAGTGAGATTTTGGATGAGCTACCTCTCTTGTTTCTTAATTTCTTACCCATTTTCAGCAAACAGATTGGGGAAAATAGGGAGGAATTTCATAGACAATGAAGTGATTCAAATGAAGAAATTGAATCCTGACGCTATGAGAACACAAGATTGAAGCTTTCTGGAATGAAATGACTAACCTTTGAGGACTGAAACATCTGATTCTTCTTAATGAGAATAGTTCTTAGAGCTCGTATGAGTCATAAACACGACGCGAAACCCTATCCCCTCTCTCTCTCTCTCTCTCTCTCTCTTACATGTTTCTGTTAACACAAATTGAGTTTGAGTAACTTAGTTTTTTATACTACATATTAGCTTATTGAACCGAGTAGTAGGTTGTTCAAAATTGGCTTGAAAACTTAACAAATTTAAAATTGTGTTCAAACTTAACTTGTTTACATAATGAGTCAATCTTGAAAAAGTATTAATTGAACAAGTTGTACGCAAGTCAAGTTCTAATAGTTTGGTTCATTTAACACTCTTATTTAGAATGTTGGTCATTCAATTCTGCTTTGTTAGACCATCTCCAATGATTGGGCCATTAGTTTAGGATTTAGAGTTAAGGGTCTAGGATTTAGCCAAAGTCAAAAAAATGGCCTCGCTTCACAAAATTGATGCACCAATGTTGTGCTATTGCTCTAGAAAAAAATTGGTAGAAGCCAAATCTTGAGCCAAAGCCATCTTGTTGTCAAAGGTTAGATCTGATTGGGTTGGGTTGGGTTGAAGTCATCCCAATTTCCATGACGTTAACACATAATAGTTGAATTTGACAAATAATTATGCCAAAATGACAAGCCTCCATTGAAGTAATATAGCCAAAAATTGACTTTTGTGCACTCTAACAAACCAACAGATAGCTTTGCCATATGACTTGGACCATTAGAGATGCTCTTGGTCATACACACTAGCAGCACAATTAATAGGCAATTTAGGCGCACGCCTAAGATAAGACGACCCTATTTTTTTAAATATTTACAGTGTACATATCTCATTTTTACACCTTTATTTGATCTACTGATTTTTAAATTGATTAGATTGTGAAAAAAAATATTAATCTTTAATTTGACCTTAAACATGATTATTTTTCCAATTTGAAGGTTTATATATTTTTTCCTGAATTAAAAATTTTAAAAGAAAATTGTAAATAGAGTAAAACATTTCAATTAACATATTGAATTATATATATTAAAGAAACTAGATTCTTTTCTAAATGTATTGCATGCATAATATTATCAACAAATTAGTAACAGTTGATTCTATAAAAATATATTTTCATGATCAAAATTAATAAAATTATAAATGATATCCACTGTCACAAGAAACATTAAATGAATTAAGCCATAATATCAATTGAAAATGATATATAATTGAACCGTTAGTGATGAATATCATTGCCGATGAGCGTGGTGATGGAGTCGTGGTGCCGAGTGTCCAAAAACAGTCCCGTGGCTGTGCAAATTCGACTTGGGAGCCGATTGACGTATATGTGGCCAAGTAGTCTTGCCGAGTAAGCAATGTTGGCCGAATAATGTTGTCGAGCCAATTTGATGTAGGGAATGGAGAAATTTGATGGTATAGCAGAGGCAAATTTGATGCTTTCATGCATAGGTGTGCCAAACAACTATCAAAGGCAAATTTAATGCATCCATTATTGCCAAGGAAGAAGGAACGCAAATGGAACTTAGGTAATTGGATTCCTCAAGGCTGTTGTATTTTATGTTTTTTTTTTTTTTTATGTTTATTTACATTCATTGTTTTTTAATATATATATTTTGTTTGCTGAATGAAGTGCAATTCTCTTGACAAATGATGCTTCGGAACCTCATTTCGGCGGAGAGAATGTTGAAGTGAATGTTGTTTCTAACGTCCTTATCATAACGGTGTCGACTCGGCGACATCATTTCTACTAGGCGACATCATTTCTACTCGGCAAAGAGTATGCATGTTTGGTGAGGGCGTAATGGTGCTCGTCCTGTCCATTGGTCTCTTTGTTTGTGCCATTTTAACGTGGATATCTTTGCCAGTAGTACTACACGCATCAATTGGTATACCAATTAGTGTATAAATATATGTTATGGCATTGTTACTTCAAAATTATGACCTCACCAATTATATAAATTACCAAGACTCAACTTTTAAAATTATATCATATCATCTATTAATACACTAATTAGTATGTTAATTTGTGCATATAGCATTATTCTATCTTTGCTTATGCTAAACATAATAACATTTTTATTTCTAAAATTTGATGTTTAAACTATAATTATGAAGTTTACTAAAAGGCATCTTGTGTAAAGTTTTATATTGCGGTACAATTATTGTCATTTTAATTGATTTATTACAATTGACTTCTGTAACGTACTAAAATTATTGATTTAGTTTAATTAATTCTTATAGAGTGCATGATACTAAAAAAAATTGCAAAAAGTGCCTTTAAGTACAAGTTATCCCTAATATATGAACATGGGAGACGCTATTGATAATTTCGTATCACAAAACATGTCTCAAAAGGAAACACCTTTACTAATAGTAGTGAAAGCTTTATACAATACATGTAAATTAGCCGTTAAGAGAGAACCGAATAATAACAATAGAAGTCTCATTAAGAACAGTGAAGTCAGTTTGACTCATCCTTGGTATATTGTTTGATGCACTATTGCAATCTGAGAGTGCTCAAACAATGCATAGGCACTTCCATAACAATGAGAGAACCCACTATGATGCCTCGATATTTGACAAGTTTCGCATTTGATACAGAAGAAAATTCTGCAGCAATGACAATTGTAAAATGAAGAAAACACAGGAAGTTCAATAGGCTCAAGCAGCTAATACACCAATATACCTTATAATCCCTTTCTTCTCATGCACTAAATCTCATTTTGTTGTATAATTTTGGCTTTGCAATTCAGGAAAAAAATATTAACAACAAAAAATAAGGCTAGAAGAAGAGTAGCAGTCAACCAGACGGAGAGTCGCCACTGTTTTAATAAATAAAAACGCAAAAACAGTAGTACCTAGTGTGTTTGATGTAAAAAAATTATTAGTCAAAAAATAAAACAAGATTTAACTTCAAAAAAAGAACAAAAAAACCAAACAAAAGAAAGAAAGAAAAGAAGTTGCACCCCATTTGGAAAGGGGCTGGGCAGTGAGAGAGAGAGAGAGAAGAATAAGGTTTCTTTGTTTGAGAATTTTTGGTTTTCCTTAACCAAAACGACATCATTTTAATAAAAGAAAAATGTCATTCACAAGTGAGACACGTGTCACCCCTTCATCATTTCACTTCACAATCACTTCATGCATATCACTCTAGAGGATCCGAACACACTAACAAGAGTCCATATTTACCAAACATACATAAAGTAATGTATCACAAGAGTGAATACGTTAGCTAGCAACTAACATCCATATAATATGCATCACTATTTTATGATAACTTACAATGTATTTTCATTCAGAACAGAATGAAAGAGTACTGCATGCTCTAAATTCCATCCTTCGAACCAACTGCATCTCCGCGAACTGTATTTGCCCTGTTACTCTTGCTGAAAGAAAACACATCAAACACGGCCAAGAAACAACATCAGAACAAATATTGATAACACCATATATTTCCAAACAAATGTGAATTGCTTTTGCAAGTGATTAAACACCAATAGCACAAATAACTAGACATACACAATTAAATTTGATTTTTCATAGTGCATACAAACTTTTCGATCCGAGTAGTAGGTTATCCAAGCTCAGCTTTAAACAAGATTTTAACGAGCAGAGCACGAATCGAGCTCATGTAGCTTGGTTCATTAATCAGCTGTAGGAGGGAGAACAACCACGGCCCTATAATTTTGAAACAACCCCCAATGGTACAATCTCAAAACTTAGCTTCTTTGGAAATTATTTCAGACACATGCTCAAGCTTAAGATACACTGTGAGTACCACAATAAAACCTTTCAATATGCTGAAACGTCATCATGATCTAGACCACCCCACCAAATCTCAATCGAAGGCTCAAGAAAGAGAGAGCAGAAGGGAAATAAAAAAAAAAACTATATTATGGGGACATAAACAAGGTTGTTAAAATTAGGATCCTACGTGGGATCGTTGGAAGGAACTTGTGGATCGGATCGTAGAATCGGATCGAGTATAGTAAGATTCTACTTCCAATGTAAAATAAAATGAAAATTATCAATAATGATAATATATGTTACGTAATTTTAAAAAGATTAAAGAAAAATGATTAATTTGATATAACACATCTTTTATGTTAACATCAATTAGAAGAGACATTTGAAAAAAGTGTTTAGAGTCAAAATTTTTATATAGATATACACATACATACATATATACAAGAAACAAATAATAACAAAAAAAATTGTCAAGATCGGAATCGTAGTAAAATTGGGATCGTATGCGATTCTACACGATTTTATGAATATGATCGTAATAACTTTAAGATCCTAGTGTGATCTAGATTGTTTGGCCCAACTAAAATCATAGAATTGTAAGATCCTACAATCCGGATCAGGATTCTGATAACTATGGACATGAATGAGTTGATTCATGAACACATCTTGCTTGTAATGCTATATCTAAAGTTACACCACAATACTAGAGCTTTTTTAAGGGAACAACGGGGAGATCAAGAAGCACACAAATCACAATGCATCCGGTCTATGGCCTAAAAGATTACATACCATTGTTGGGAAAATATAAAGTGTCTTTAATAAATTTAACTTTAGGCTAAATAATATAACAAGGACAACTTTACATAGTAGAATAATTACATCAACCATGAATATCATATGCAATCTAAAATCAATACAAAATAATATTCATATTGAGAAAGAAAAAGAAAAAAAAAAAGTACACCCTACCGTTCCATTTGCCGTTCCATTTGCCATTGCTTAAGTTCCTGGACGTGCCTGTTGCAAGAATTTGGTCAACATTAGCTAGATTATGCCAAGTATTTATACTTAGATCAATACTAGTCAAGCAGGGTGCGTGCAAGGCATGCAATTGAATGCCGTTATAAGTTGGACAAATCAATGGGTTTAATTTGAGAAATATACAAAATACACCAAGTATGCTGAAGCTTTTCAATATGCTCAAGCTTAAGATACACTGTGAGTACCACAATAAAACTTTTCAATATGCCGAAACGTAATCATGATCTAGACCACCCAACTACCTAATCTCAATTGAAGGCTCAAGAAAGAGAGAGAGCAGAAGGAGGAGAAAAACCCAATATTATGGGGACATAAATGAGCCGATCCATCAACACATCTTGCTTTTCATGCTAAAAGTTACACCAAGTATTGCACTAGACATTAATACCAGAGTCTTTTTAAGGGGACACCGGGGAGATCAAGAAGCACACGAATCACAATGCATCCAGTCTATGGCCCAAAAGATTACATTCCATTGCTGGGAAAATATAAAGTGCCTTCAAAAAATTTAACTTTAGTCTAAATAATATGAGAAGGCCAACTTTACACATAGTAGAATCATTACATCAACCATGAATATCATATGCAATCTAAAATCAATATAAAATAATATTCATACTGAGAAGAAAAAGAAAAAAAAAAGTACCCCTACCAATTTATTGCCTCTATTGCCATCCAATTCTCAATTTCCTGGTTGTGCCTGTTGCAAGAATTTGGTCAACATTAGATAGATTATGCCAAGTATTTATACTTAGATCAATACTAGTCAAGCAGGCTGCGTGCAAGGCATGCAATTGAATGCCGTCATAAGTTGGACAAATCAATGGGTGTAATTTGAGAAATATACAAAATACATTGCTAAAAAGTATAATTCTAATATGTAGGCAAAATTGTAGTGAATTCATAATTAAACAGGTATTACAACTTATAATTCAAATAAAATATAACCAAATGAAGCCATTTTCTGCATAAATGATTAAAACAGTCATCATTTTAAGTTGAACTAATGAAAATGATATTTAACAATAATATGATCAATAATTTAGTTTACTAAGTTTCACTAACATATTTTCTTTAGTAGTCGGACAAAAAGAATGAAAGTTTATATAGTTAAGCTATGCATTTGTATTACTCCATTTGTTCTTTGACGAAGAAAATAGGAGAAAATCAGAGCTAGGTTGTGACGACCCCAACTTGCATATCATTTTTTTGCATATTATTTATTTGAGAATATTTGTTTCATCTTGTGTTTATCTGTTCATTTATAGAATATCTGTTTGAATGCTTACTTCGAATCTGAAATTGAAAGCCTTAGCGAATTCACAAATCAAAATTAACTAGTTCAATAGGCTAATTAGAATATTTAGAATCACATGGTAAGTTTAATTACAATTTGATTCAAACAATTAATTAGAATAAATCAATTAGAATTGAATAGGACACCTAAAAAAATAATGAACACCCAAAAAAAAATAGAATTGAATAGGATTAATTAAACTTAACCTAGATTAATTAGCCTTAATCCTACTTAATTAGCCTAATCTAATCTAGCCTATATATATGCTATAAGCATGTTTAGGAGTTCATTTCTTCAACATATTTGGCTGAAATTGTAGAGAGAGGGAGAGGGCAACTCCTTTAGAGAGAAGAAGAAGAATTGTGAAGAATTAAGCTACCGACCTTCAATTACAAGCTCTAGGTTTGAATTACAATCATAACTCTTGTAGATAATTCATGTAGGGGTTGAATTCATGTAATAATAAGAGTAATCTTCATGTAATTGATAGGAAAATGGAAGAAATGAGTCAATTGAGAACATGCATACACAATTCATCATCTTCAAGCATGATTTCCAACAATTCATACATGCATGGAGTTTGTACTTGACGTCTTAGAGGATTCTCCATAATTTTTCACTCATCACTTCATATGTTCATATTTTGAAAGAAAAGATTTGAATTTCATCCATGCATGGTAGATTTACAAGGTTTTGAGTTTAATTTTGAGAATTGGCAAAGGTTTTGAACTTGTGAATTCAAATGAGTTGTGTTTATATGTTTTCCAAAGAGTTTTGATGCTTTTGGGACCAGCCATGCAAGTTATGCAACTTAAATTCATGCTTTTGAACTTCAATTTTGTTCTGGAAATTCCAGAATTCGGCCACTTCGCTCGAGCGATGAACTCGTCGCTCGAGCGCACTTAGCATGCATCTAGTATTTTTGCAGATACGTTGCACTTTCCTTGAGCGATCATCAAGCCTACATTTCGACCAACCAGAACTTTTGCAGACCAAATGGTCCGCTCGAGCGACCAACAGTGCGCTCGAGCGAACTGCCCTATTTCAACAACTTTCGAAAAATACTTTTAACTGCATATTTCCATTCTCATGCACCTCTAGGCATTCTTGGGCATTGTTTAGGCATCGTTAGGGAAGAGAATAATTAGGACCACATATAAGGGAATTGAATTAAGATACAATTGTCGTTTAAGACAATGTGTTTCAATGTGCGCCTTTATTATGTGTTTTGTGTAGCTGGTCGCCTAAAGCTTATATCGGTACAAACCCACTATGAGCAATGTCTTTATAAAGCTATGTTCAAACGGTATTTTGAATTAGTCAAGAATGTTATTTGAAATCTTATTTTGCTATCTATGAATGAACATCCTTTTTGAATTTGTAATCGTGGCATCCTTTAGTGAGATCCTCGCCTGGGAGAAACAATACCATGGCTCATTGGATTAATTGAAAAACAGAGATCTCTGATGTTGGACCCTTGTCGTCCACATTGAATTACCCATTGAGGCTTATTGATTGACCCATTGCGGTCCTAGTGAATTGACCCTTGTGGTCCTATTAGCTTCGGCACATTGTCATATTGTTACTCTAATAGATGTTACCACATATTATGATTTGAATGGTTATTATTATCGCAAAGCATTGATATGAATGTGATTTGAATTGTTTTGATTATCGAAACAATATATTTCAAGATATATTGGTCTTCATTCATCAAACCCTTTATATTGATATTACTCATTGGGCTCCAGCTCACCCCTCTCCCTTATATATATGTAGATGAGCAAGTGGAACGACAAGTCTAGAGGTGCCTCGGGAGTCTACCCTTGTGAAGCCGTTTAGTGTGCCTCCATGATGGAGTGTTACTTGGTCTTTTGAGGAGCCAAGCTTTTGTTAACCCTTTTATGAAGTCTTTTGTTTTGTTTTTGTTACTTGTGTACTATGTAACAAGTCATATGTATCAAGTTAAAGTTCAAGTTTGATTGTAAATATTATATTATGGTATAATGAATGACTCCTAACGAAATGGCCTTTAATAGGTCCGCGTGGAGAAGAATGATTCATGTAGCTGACCCCATTTGATGGGACTTAATGCTTGGCTTGGCTTGGTTTGGTTTGGTTTGGTTTTTGGTATAATGAATGACTTGATCTATTATGAAGTTATCATGTAAGCACTGCTCAATGAACTTAATTATATTTTGTTATTACTTCCGCTATCCCCCGATTATGTATTATGATAATATTTTGTTATTGAGGCCAGAGGTAATCTGGAATTACTGGCCGGTCATGACCTAAGCCTCTAGGCTAGGAAGCACAGATATGGATACAAGATACGGATATAACACGATACGGATACAGCAATACGACAAAACCTAAAAAAAATAGGATACCGGTACGACTAGGATACGTTTGTGAAAAATATATTTTTGAAAATTATTAATAATGAGTTACACAAGCTAAAGAACGTTGAGAAACCACAATGTAATTTTATAATGCAAAATACTAACCTTTAAGAATTTTGTATTAATTTAAGCTAGTAACTTGTTTATTTTTTAAATTTTTAATAGGTTTTGCAAATATTTCATTTCAATATCAAGTTTAATATATTTATATTACAATAATAGAACAATTCACAACTTGTCTCTATACTTTTTTCTTTGACACTAGTGAAAAATATTGTATTCAAGTTTACTTACTTATTTATTTATTGATATTTAATTTTACCATTATTATATTCTCTTGTTAATTCTTACTTTCTATGTAGTTATAAGGGACATGCATAAAATAATTAGGATACATCAATTTGATAAATTTTATTATTTAACTCACTGTGCTCTTCTTATCGAAGAACTTAACAAAGTATTAGGAAAATATTCTTATATTTATATTTGCAATTATATTATATTATATTACTATGTAAGAAATGTTACAATTCTAATTTCATAAAACAAATAAACATGACTTCGAGTATCCGATACTTCAAAATTAAGAATCCGATACTCCAAAATTAATGAAAAAATAATTAAGAAGTATCCGATACTTTTAATAACTATCCGATATGTATCCGCGAGTATCTAAGGAGTATCGGTATCCGATATGAATACGATATGGATACGTTGCCCTATTTGAAGTATATGTGCTTCATAGCCTCTAGAGGCAGGTTTGGGTCGTGCATAGGTGGTAGTTAAAGTTCACATGGTATGTATGCAGGAATCATTTGAAGTCCTAATATGAAGAAAAATGCACTGACTACAGTTTGATTCAGACCCATTTAATAGTTTAAAAAAACAAAAAAGCACAAAACAATAGAAGACCCCAACTCATTAGATACAAAGATGAAATCCAAATTGATCAATATTAAATAAATAAAAAAAGCAAGTGTTATTCCATACAAAAGAATGCAACATGACCCACAAAAAAAAAAACCAAAGAAAGCAAGAAAATTAGATAATGGCCATGGTTTATAATAGATGGTGGGAGGAAGAGATCTACTTCCTCAATTTGAACTTTGTTACTTGTACACGAGCAAAAGGCACACACGGAGATGAAAATGTAGAGAGATTATGTCATGATTCTCTCATTCCCTCCTTAATTTTTTTTCATTGAAGCTTTGTTCTGCTGAGATTACTGTTTTCCAGGATGCACAAGGACTAAGGCCTCGTTTGGGAACAGGCTAATTTAGTAACTTTTTGGCTATTTGGCTAAAAAGGTAGGTAAAAAAAACTTATATGTTTGGGATGACTTTTTGGCTAATTACGAAAAGATGTGCAAAAAGTAGAGAAAAAAGAGAATCTTTGACTTTTTGGTATGAGTTGTTGGCTTTTTGACTAATTTAGTAACTTTTTGACTCATTAGCTAAAAAAGTAAGTCCTCAAATGGGGCCTAAAATTGGTATTTCGACCTGGCCAAAAATGGCTAGACAAATCAAGTAATGGAGCTTACGTATATTGTCGACGTAGATAAATAATTTAAAGCAAACTATTTGCATACAAATCATGAATCAAGAAGTCTCAACAATAAGCAAGGGTCCTTCTTCCCAAGTTATAATAGTTTCTTTCTAAAAATGGTAATTCAAAAAGCTCTTTAAAAGCCTCTCAACAATGTATGTGCCTTCTGGTAAGCTATGAAGCACGGATACTTCAAAAAGGGAGACGTATCCGTATCGGATACTTATCGGATACCGATACTCCTTGGATACTCGCGAATACGTATCGGATACTTCTTAAAAGTATCGGATACTTCTTAATTAATTTTTTATTAATTTTGAAGTATCGGATACTCGAAGTTACATATTACTTATAATATTTTGTTTAGCTCTTTGATAAGAAGAATATAGTAAGAGTTAAAGTAATAGAATTTGTTAAATTGATGTATCCTTGTTGTCTCTCTCACTTCTCACTCTCACGTTTCTTGTCTTTGCTCTCATTCTTTTTTTGGTGTTGGCATCTAAGGATGATGTTTAATTTGCATTTGCTTTTGTTTTTAGTTTTGGATGTTTTATGAATGTTTGAAGATTTTTAGGTTAATAGGAATCTCTCTCTTTATATATTAATTTACCTTAAGTTTTATTTTCATGCATATTACATTATTAAAATTATAAAAATATTTTTTTTTTTACGAACGTATTCCCGCCATACCTGTATCATACTTTTTCAAATTTTGACGTATCGCCATATCCGTATCCGTGCTTCCTAGGTTATCATTGATGACTTAAAAAAATATATTTGCTGAAATTTTTATTTAATAATGATTTTTTGGCTTTAGCTAAGGTCCTGTGATATTCACTGATGAAGGGGAACAAGTTGAAGCTATTGACCTTGAAGACTCTTAGTTTTATAGGAATCTTTCTTCTTTATTAAGTTGTCTTTTGTTATAGGTTTTATTATTATGCATACTGCATTACTAAAAATTGTAAAAATAATATTTTTACGAACGTATCCCTGCCGTACCCGTATCCTAATTTTTCAAATTTTTCCGTATCGCCGTATCCGTATCGTATCCGTATCCCGTATCTGTATCCGTGCTTCCTAGCTGGTAAGTAAGTTACAGATGTTTCTTTTCTTTTCTAGTAAAAGTGAGTTTCTCTTATCCTCTTCAAAGATTGTAACAGAATGATGTAGGATTTGGCTGGATAAGGAACCAATCAAAAAACACTACCCAAAAATCCTTGCTTGATCCAAGGACAGGCCATCAGTTTTTATTTGATTTGATTTTTGTTTCTAGTTTCTGAAACATATTTGAATGGTTAGTAAATTAATCTATCTACCTATCTATCTAAACCATTACAGATGGGAGAAAAATAACACTTACAACTCGGCAGCACGACGGCCGACATAAGCTGCAGCAATAGCGACTGGAATTACCGCAACTGGCACAATAACAAAAGTTTCAATACTTGATTTATATATAACAAGAAGGCTGCGAATTCAAAGCAATTAAAAATACAAAAACCCAAACTTACGCCACGTTTTTGCAGTTTCAGAAAGACGCCTCATCTTTGGCTGTGAAATTCTTCTAGTTCTATAAACAGATAAATCAATCGGATCAAATCAAATCAAAACAAATACAAAGTAGAAAAGAAACCATGAATGAATGATTTCCACTCCAAGAAACGCAATCATCATCAATCAATAAATCAAAATCCATATATAAAAACAAAGATCCATGGAGAACAATCAAGAAAGATTGGGGTTTCAACATATACCCTAAAATTGACGCACCTCTTTCTGTTCTCCTTGTTCTTCGCACACTCCGTGCCCTACCCAAAAAACCCTAGTCTCCTTTTATAGCCGCGTGCAATAAACTCTTCGTTTGGTTACAACCCCTTAATTGTCATGCACCGTGTATTATATTTCAAGGTTAACAGCACATACAACTCGAACCTTGTTTGTTTGGCTATACTAGCCCATTTTTTAAAAATGATAAATTACAAATGCATTTTTGAGATTTACTTAAAATATAAATTATTTTTTGTAATTTAAAAAATTATAAATACCTCCTTATCAGAATTTTTATTTAATAAAATTAATTAAAAAAGTGAAATTTTTAACTATTCACCTATACAATAATAAAATTATCTGAATTATTAATTAAAATAAAATTTTAACATTATTAAAAATTATTAATTAACTTGATGATTTATTAATAAAAGGATATATTTGTTATGAAATTAGAAACCTTAGGGATATAATGTAATTTTTAGAACTACAATAGGGTAATTTGTAATTTAAGTAAACCTCAGGGGGTGTGTTTGTAATTTATCATTTTTTAAAAAGATTTTTTGGATAAACTAAGGCCTCGTTTGGCATGTGTCTGTTTTAACCTAAAAGCTAAAAGTTGCTAAAAAAATCAAAAAGTCTATAACCTATACAAAAAAGTCAAAGATTCTCTTTTCTCTCTACTTTTTGAACATTTTTTCGTAAAAAACTAAAAAATCATTCCAAATATATTAGTTTTTTTTACCTCAAATTTTAGCCAAAAAGTCAAAAAATTACTAAAATAGCATGTTCCCAAACGAGGCCTAAGAATGATTCTACTTATACCACTAATTTACCTTTTTATACCCTTTATCTCATTACACCACTAGAAAAAAAATGTGATTCTCATTATACCTATTATATTACTAAAATTAATTCGAAAGTAAGACTCTTCAAAATCCTTTCATCTCTTTACACCAATAATTTTTTGAGCAAAAATAAAGGAATAAAGAAGGACGCAACAAGGGGGAAGAGAAAGATAGTGAAATGTTTGTTCGGTCACACAATGCTAATTAAATAATTTACATTCCTTCGGTGTTATGATGCCCAAAAAAATAGATTTTTCCAGCATTTTGTTACTATACATTTATAGAATCACTCTTTTCCAAACAATGATTTTTAAATTTATGCAAGGCCTGTTCGGTAATACAATACTAATGAATTTGAATTAATCCAATGTCATGTTACAGGACAAACTATTTTTTCCAGCAATATGTTGTCATTTGATTGGATGATAATAAAAAATTAATTCGGGGCCACTTGTGAAGTGCATGTTCGGTGATATGTTGTTATACAAATTAGATTACTCTAGTATCATGTTGCCAAACTATAATCATGATGCATGTTCGGTGATTTACTTTTTCCTTCAAGCATCCATAAATCAAACACGCATCCATAAAATCATACATAAAAAGTATCCATAGAAATATTCATAAAAAATCAAGTGTACGAACATCCATAAAAGCATTCATAAAATCTGTCATTGTTTGTATTCATCAATCAAACATGTTATCACAATTCCTCTATATCGATAGTTTCGGTAGCTACTACATTAAGGTTGAGAAACGTACGGAATTGATGAATACAGGTAGTATATGCTTTCTTCTATCCACTAGCACACGGGTGATGAAAACGAATCCAATTATTTACTATCGGAGGTGTTAGATGACCAGGTTGCAGATAAACCTATAACAAACATCAATAAGTAAAATTACAAAATAAGACATGGTAATGATCTAAGTAAGCTCAGCAGTTTATACTTGCACGAAATGGTTTTCATTTACAAATCCTATGTAGATATCTCTTCGATCAGGTGTTGCAATCGGTACTAATCTAGGCGGTAGAAACGTCAAGCACTGTTGCATGGATAAATGATGAAGAACTACTCGGTAGTATGATACTATCAAATGGCCCATGTCGGGCATAGTCATCCAATGATTAAATCTAGGGCCAAGTTTGAAGTAGGATAAGATAGAGGTAAGATCATCAATACTTTCCTGTGAACCAAATAATTACACATAGTGCACTACATTCGAATGCAGCTCAAGTGTAAGTTTTGGTTTTTTGCCATTATCTCCTGTATTTGATGTCTTTATAATAATGACAAATCCAAATTTATTTTCAATGTCAAAAGCCCATTTAATTAATGCTTGACGACTACTAAAAATTTAAAGATAATAAATACATTTATACGTCAAATTATTAATAAAATCAATACAAATTAAAAATAAGAAAAAATCGTATTCATAAAAAACTTTACAAATCCACTAATAATGCAATACTTGCATTGTTGCAATGAGTAGATGCATAATCCTTCCAAGAAAAAAAATGAAAAGAAATATAAAAAAAATGAAACTGGAAATACATGGTTATGAGTAGCCAAATAAATTAAAAAAATTCGGTCTTAGGTTACCGGAAATGTATCTTTTATTTGGCAGTTGATTACCAGACATATATTTTTTGTTCGGCAATGTGCTGCCGGACTATTTTATTTTGTTTGATTTCGAAACATCGAACAGTAGTTGAAGAACAGTTTAAAAAAAGAAACAAAAACCTACCAAATAAATAAAGAAAACTCACCTAAACTGTAATAACCCCGATCCACAATTAGCCACTAATCGGTAATTAAGGATGTTAATGAGAGGATTAAAATAAATTATGGTTTATTATGTAATTTGCACAATAGTTGGCTTTCTATCTATTACTTGTAGAAATATCTGTTTGGAATTCCGCTTTAATATGTAAATTGAAAGCCTTATCGGCACTCGAAACCGAAATTGATTACATCAATGTGTTATTTGGAATTTTTAGAACACTATGGCAAATTTTATTAAAGATCGGTCCAGAACGATTAATTAAGTTGTGTTTGGTTGGACCAATGTTCTAAGTGTTGTATTATTTAGCATTTCAACTATAAATGGGCTTTAGACTCATTCTTGAACTCATATATGTTTTCTTTGAGTAGAAAATTCTGAGACTACATTTTAGAGGGAGAGAGAGTTCACCTTCAGAGAGAGTGTGTGTAGAAATTGAAGAGAATTGAAGGCTTTGGCTTGAACTCATCAAGATTGTGCAAGGATTTAGTTAATTCAAGACTATAGGTATGAATTCAACCCCTAATTTATGAATCTAAGTCATCAACATGAAGATTATGAGTTTAAATGTGGACATTGAGCTTAGAATAAGGATTTGAGTTACAATTCATACATACATGCCCATGTAGGTGTTAATTTACCATGTTAATTTTGTATTTTACCAATTGTGTTGAATATGGAGGTTGAATGGTACATGCATGCATATTTCATCAAGTTTTGTAAGTCAATCCCATGTTTTTGAAGTCTTGAAAGAGAATTTGGAAGAGAAATCCACATGCATGCATGAATATATGGAGTTTTGGCATGTTAAGTTTGATTTTGAGCATCTAAGTTATATTAGTAAGTTATTTGGTACTTGCATGTTAGAATTGCCATGTTAATCACTTAAGTTCATGTTTTGCAAGAGAATTTCCTACATGCATGGAGTTTATGAGCTTAAATTGCTAGTTTCATGAGTTTTGAAGAAAAGAGTTGGAAAGATTTTGCATGCATGTTTTGCTTCTTGAAGTTCAAGATGAATTGTAAGCTTTTGGCAAACTCTTGGGCCATGACTTTATGAATTGATCATTAATTCTTCATATTTTACAAGTTTACTATGTTATCTCAAGTTTTGGGGCCCAAGAGATGTGTTTTGGAAGATTGAATTCGAGTTTTGAGCTTGGTAATCAAATCTGGAAATTCCAGAATTTGCATCCACGCTCGAGCGTGGGAGTTCACGTTCGAGCGACCACTCTGTGTGCGTGCACTCCGCTCGAGCGACCAAAAGTCTGCTCGAGCGTGAATTGCAAGCTCCCAGAAGTTTCATGTCTTTTACAGATCGCTTTTTGGCCATTGTCTTGGCATGCATGAGGCTTAGCGAAGGAATGTGCACTCGAGCGACCATTCACATTTTGCATGTCCGCTCGAGCGAGGAAAGCTACGCTCGAGCGTGGACCTTATTTTCAGAAATTTTGCCTAAGTGTTCCAAGGCATGTTTTGGCATCCTCATTGCATCTTAGGCATTCCTAAGACCTAATTAAGCTTTGATAATGAGGTTATGAATTAGAAACACACTAAGGAATGAATGTACTAAGTCAAGGAATTGCAAGTGTGTGTGTGTTTAAGCATTGTGATAAGAAAGAACAAGAACCAACGTAATGAAAGCTAAGCCATGTTGGCTATATGAATGTGTAATGATAAGACATGCTTGTGTTATGTATTTTGTGGTTGTAGGTCAAGACTCGAGGATTGATTGACTGCTTACTGGAATCACTGTGAATAACATTATCGTAAAGATGCATTCATATGAATTATGTTCCAAATGAAATGTGATAAGCTCTGATTTCTGAAATGATATCTGTTTATGTGAACGAACATCCCAAGTTTGAAATCTATTATGGCATCCATAGATAGTCCCAAGTCATAGGGGACGGCATGAAAATGCAGGTCCATGACATACAAGTTTACGAAATCTCGTTAGCCACTTCATTGTGGTGATTTGTGTTTAATCGGTATCCGGAACTGATTACTCTAGTCGGAAGACGTTCTGTGATGTGTTCTATGGGATGTACCATTATTATGTTCTAATATGAGGATGATTATGCTATGATCTATTTTCCGCTTATGATATGTTCGGATTTCGTTCACTAACCCCTTTACCTTAATGTTATTCACTGGGCTTTAACTCACTGTTTGTATATATATATGTTTAGGTGAGCATTCTGGAGCTCGAGTCTGAAGGCTTTTGCCTGGATCTGTGTTTCGTTGTCAACCAACCATTGTGCCTCATGTGGAGGTTCCCGAAGCGTCCTATGTATAAGTTCTGTGGTTTCTGTTTATATAAGACTTTATTTGATGTCGTTGGTTGTACTTAAAATACTGCAATGTGTGTGGGTATAATGTATGGTTGACTACCGGTTATGTATATAAAGTTTTAAATATTCTGTTTCATATAAGTCAGCACAGCTCATTGGACAACTATATTTATGTATTTGCTTCCACTAGCCCCTTAATCTTGTTAATCTGTTCAGA